CCGAGGTTCGTGTGCACCCGGGGAGGGGTGGGGGGGGAGAGGGGCAGGTTTCGATTCCTACCATTCCCGCGGCAACCAAAAACCCGGGCCAGGCTGGTACCGCGTGCAACGAACGGGCCGGTCTGCTGCGTGTTTGAAAAACGACTTGTAGGAAAAAAGGGCACATATAGGGGGATACGTAAAATACCGTAAACAGTATCAACAAAATGAACCTTTGCCGTTACAAGTCATCACGATTCCTTCCACCAGGTAGGGCGCGTGCAGCCTCCCCCCGCCCCTCCCCCCCAATCTTGTGCGCTCAGCTGTTTTCTCCCGAGCGACGCCAAAACCAGACAAAAACAAAAAAAAGATAAACGAGACAGGGAGAGCCGACGCGCCATTCCAGCAGGCAAGGATATTCCGCGTCTTCGCTACCGCGACATACAAGCACCCCAAGACGAGACACGCATTAGCCGTGGTGAGGTTGCCCCTGCCCTTGCCCCCCCTCCCCCGCGCGCTCCGTGCATGACACTTGAGTGTTCCCGAAGGGCCACTCAAGGGAATCGATCGCACACAAACATACACACAATAGACATCAATCCAATTCGCGCGGGCTCATGGCTGCCTTACACGGAAGTTCGTTCGATCCACGGCCACAAACGGAACAAAAGAAACACCCAACAAACACAGGCAACAAGATAATCAATTCTGTAAACACCGAACGCTAAACACCCGCTCCTTGCTTATGATACTCCTTCCGCCCTCAAGCATAGGGGTGACACGGCGAAGACCCGCCACCGCAACAGGAGACACACCCTCTCCTGCAAAACAACAGCCTTTCCACCAATCCACCCACAAACGGTCTAAGCAAGTCGTGTGCAAATTGACACGGCCGAAAGCTTCGCGCAAAAAAAAAAGGGGGGGGGGGAGCAGGGAGAAAAACCGTGGGAAGAGGGGGCCCGGGACACGCGTGCAGCATATGCCCTCGCTGCCCCCCACCCCCCCCACCCCCGCGCGCGCTCAGGCTCCACGTTCGTGCCTCAGAAACATCGGGTCGTCATTCCTTTCGTGGCTTTTGTCCTAGGGTTCTTCTCCGATACTGACGACGGGATCAGGAAGTGGTGCTAATGGGAGCAACCGTGGCGGATGCAGCGGGCGCGGCGGCCTCAGTCGCGCCTACGGGGTCAGCCGAGGCAGCAGCGGCGGCGGTGGCGCCGGCCTTGGCGTTGCCCGCCTTGGGGTACGAGCCGCCGCCGCCGCCGCCCCCAGTCTTGCTGTCCTCCCTGACCTCAATCTGTCGGGAGCCGAGCTCGGTGCCGTTCAGCTCCTGGATGGCCGACTGAGCCTCCTCCTGAAGGACGCGCGGAGCAATTCAACAGCAGTGGGCGGACAGCAGCATGACAAAATAAGAAAGGGGGGTACGCACGTGCGACGGGAGGGCGGGACGGAGTCCACCAGCACTTGTGACAAAAAACCAACCTCGCGGTTCTTGCCCTGTCGCACTGCGTCGTCCCAGCGTTGAAAAGCACTACCTTGTACTCTACCAACATATCCGAGCCCGCGGGAGACTTCACACTTGATTTCGCCCCTGCAGCAAACGCGGCAGAGAAACCGACACCTACTATTAATACCCTCTTCTTAATAACAGCGCGACACTTTTCATTCATCATAATATTACCTGCGTCCTGAAGCGGACGGTGCCCCAGCCCTTGGACCTACGCGAGCCGTCCATCATCACGTCCGCGCGCTCCACCTCCCCCGCGGTACGGAAGTGGTCCTTCAGGTCCGCCCACGTCGTCTCGAAAGACAGGTTGCCCACGTAAAGCTGCCGCCCGGCGAGGTTCTCGCCGCCGCCGCCGCCCCCCCGGCCGCCGCCGCCGTTCGCCATCTCTCCTCTCCCGCCGCCGCGTTGCCTCTGGCGGGGGTTCTGCTGCTCCCTGTCCTCGCGAACGAAGATGGGCCTCCCGCCCAGGGCGGTGTTGTTGAGCTCTCGGATGGCTCGGTTGGCCCCGCGGATGTCCTCGTACTCAACGATGCCGCAGCCCTGCACTCGTTACATACCCGCGACACGAAAAACAATCCAATCAAGAGAGCAAGAGGGGGCGGGGGACGGGTCGGTGTGTTTCTCTCTCGAAATGGCATGGACCGCCTTACACAGCCCGGTTTACAATGAAAATTGGCCAGGCGCTGCCTTACGTACAGAGGGAGAGAAACTTAGGAGGCAACACGCTGCCGGAACGCAGCCGTCGCCACCCGCGCATCCTTTTCTTTTGCCACCGCGGGGTCTCCGCGCCATGTCGTCCGTCACCGCCCCCTACTCCTTCTTCCTCCCCCCCCCTCCCTTGCCAAGCAACAACAAAATTGGTCGGGCAGCAGCGGCCGGAACACACACACACACCCGCACTGAGACTGACGTGTTTTCATTGGTCAGCCGGTTAGCGCGGTCGATGCTAATAATAATAATAACAAAAAACACACACAACGCCGTTTCCGACTACACCACAAACATGGCAGAGTCATAGGCTTTCCTTCCTCCCTCCCGGAAAACGTCTCTTCCTCCTCCCTACCTTGGAGCGCCCGTCGCCATCCTGAAGAACGTCCGCGTGCACCACTTTCCCCACCGTCCTCATGTGGTCCTTGAGCTCCTGCCACTCCACAGTCCACGCCAGGTTGCCGACGTAGATGCGGTTGCCGGTAGCCTGCGGCATCGCACCCCCGCCCCCACCTTGGTGCCCGCCGCTGCCGTGCTGCTGCTGGTGCATCTGCATCTGCTGCATGTGTCCCCCCATCGACTGGCCCATGAGGGCGCCGGGGCCGGCCGCGAACGGCTGCCCGCCGAAGGCCCCCATGGGCCCCATCTGCATCTGCCCCACCATTTGCTGCTGCTGGTGGTTGTGGTGGTGCATCTGCTGCTGGTGGTGCCCACCCCCCGGAGTTCCGCTCTCGCGGTCCTAGAAACAGTTGAACAAAAATGAGCGGACAGAAAAGCCGGAGAAAGGAGGTGGCCCGATCAGACAGTAGTCGCTACCAAGTGATAACAAAATGGGTGAGTCTACGCGCTGGGGTCCACGAGCGATCGTCCAAAAAAGCACTCGCAGACTGTAGGCGAGTTCATGCGGCGCACACGCCGATTTGTATCCAATTTTTGGTTTCAGGGTTTGAAACAAAAAGCGACAATTGGCCGCGAGAGTTGAAAGCGGTTCAAGCCGTCATGTGACCTCCACTACGAAAAACACACACACACAAGAGAATGTCACTGCAGTTGTGACGAGGAGGAGAAAAATCACGTCCCTCGGCAAGCCAACAGCAACCAAGCGAGCCACCCATCTCGCCCCCGCTCCGGTTCTCCAACACAATCGTCGTTGCCACACACCACCCAACAAGCAACGATTCTCCTTTCGCAAAACAAACAAAACAAAACAGTGCTACGCTCACCTCCCGCACGAAGATCATGCGGTTCTTGAGCTCCGAGTTGTTGAGCTGCTCGATCGCCTGCGTGGCCTGCTCAGGCTCGGCGTACTCCACGATGCCGCAGCCCCGCGAGCGGCCCCCCTGGTCCGTCATGACGTCCGCCCTGATCACCTCGCCGCCGAGGCCGCGCATGTGGTCCTTCAGGTCCTGCCACGCCACGTCCCACGCCAGGTTTCCGACGTAAACCCTGGCGTTTTGGTTCCCGCTCCCCCGAGGCCCGCCCCCCATGGGCGGGCCGCCGCCGCCCCCCACCACCGCTGGAAGAGGCTCCGCGGTGTTGGTTGTTCCCCCCCCCCCCGCCACCTGACGGTACACAAGTACACAACGAATGGACGTCACGATGAAGAATTCAAACGCTCGTGTTCGTGATGATAGGTCAAGCCTAACTATTAGCGCAATAAATTAACACGCATGGATACACAGGTCGCTCACTTTGTTGCAGTTTTTTTTCTCGTTGTTTTCCACTACCAATGCGCGTTGTATTTAGCGATTTCCGACACCAAACAGCATGCCTCGTTGTTTTCTACCCATCAATGCGCGTTGTAATTAGCAATTTCCGAGCACCAAACAGCATGCCACTTCCATCCCACCGCGCATCTATTACCACCATGAATGAGCGAGCCATGTTTCGATCAAAGCAAACAAGGGAACAAACTCGTCCATCGGTGACCGGAGACGGCTATGTTGTCCACATGACAAACGGTTCTTTGGTCAACAAAAGTCGTTACAATGCGATACATGTGCTATAGTGGGGGGCCCTCTATAGTGCCGGCATTTTCGGCTCGCACACACTAAATACCAAGTCCTTTCTGTACTCTGAAGAGTGTCCGTGCCCGGCATATTGCCGGTGAAATCTCGGGACAAACCCCGGCACTACAGAGGGCCCTCCACTGCTATACCCTTGTTTTCGCATCGACACGGAAAAGAAAAACACATGAACGACAATCGCGCCACAGGCAGCTAGCTATCTACAGTTTTGTCGGCGGGAGGCGTTGTGTCGGATGGACGTACCTGCGGCCTCACGGTCCTCCCTCACGAAGATCAGGCGCCCCTTAAGCTCGGTGTCGAGGAGGGTGTTGATGGCCTCTTGCGCCTCCGCCGGGGTGCGGTACTCAACGATGCCGCAGCCTTTGGAGCGGCCGGACGCGTCTCTCATCACGTCCGCTCGGACGACCTGACGTAAAAAAAGAGTGTTTACATACACACCGCCGTATTGTACACAGCGGTCGGGGGAAAGAATTGACACATAGATCGACGTGCAGGCGGCATGGGTACCCACCCGTCTTGTGTGTTGCGTGTGTACGCAAGAGGAAAGAAACACGGACATCACCGGCATGCAGACGGCATGGATACAGAAGCTTGTGTGTGTTAGCCAGTCTATCTACACTACAACCTGCCGGCGTGTTGCATGTGTTCCACGCATCAGCCGGGGGCACACAGGGAGCTTGTATTTAGTTTGATATGCGTACGTACTGTATTCATGCCTCGTCTTTCCTCGTGCAAATTTTTTCGAGGTACTGTGAGGGTTCACCCGTCCACATTTTCCTCGACGGCCGTGAACGCCACATGCGATTAGTCACGAGTTAATCTTCAGTTTCCGCCGCATTTCAAGAGAAATCGACATTCTTTCGAGAACGGGTAGTAGCTCTCTTTGTATGCATATGCAATATATTTCCTCAACAATGAAACCCACAGTCTACCACTCTACTTTTTTACCACAGCAGTAGTCGAAGGATGTGTTGCAAGTCTTCACAGCAGCTAGCAGGTGGCAGCAAGACCTCGCGCTTACCTCGCCGGCGGTCCTCATGTGGTCCTTGAGGTCTTGCCACTCGGTCTCCCAGGAGAGGTTGCCCACGTACACGCGGGTGATGCCCGTCGTCATCACCCCGACCGGCGGCGCGGACATGCCGCCCACGACGGGCATGACGCCGCCCATACCGTTCACGACGACGCCGTTGGCGTCCTGCGCATACTGCGCGGGTTGCTCCACGTATCCCATCTTTTTTCGTCGGCAACACCCACGAAAAAAACAGCAGCAACAGGAAGAGGTGCATGTTTTCAGAAATACATCGGTCAAACGTTGTATAGATGAATTACAGTTGTAGGATAATGGGAGGTTCTGGGAAGAGAGATTGGAAAATGTGAAGACTGCTGCAACAACAGCCGTGCAACCGAAGGAAGACTAAATAGCAGACTACGTTGCATGTTTTGCATGACGGGGAGGGCGGGGGGCGAAGAGAACATGGACAGCAGTGCGGGAACATGAACGACGAAGACGTCGCACCCGGCACTACTTGTATTTATGGTCGAAAAGCAAAAAAAAGATCGGGGGGAGATTTTGGGTGTCGAAGGTGCCGCTGTCGTTCGGCGGGGAGCCAAGAAGCCAACAACACTTGTTGAGCTGACGTTTTCCGCGCCCACAAAACCCCTCCCAACCCGTGCTCCCACCAACTATCTGGATTGTCTTCACATTAAACACCGTTCCGAGCCCTCTCGACCCAGTACCTTCATATGTCCGTACTGATCCAACACTTGACGCAGTCGATTCCCGTGGTCACAGGCTAACTTACCTTTTACCCTAAAAAGGTACACTCAAATAAACTGGCCCCGAGGGTCCGCAAGTCAAAAGAAATCAACGACAGATATTCTGGAGTCCTCCGCTCCCTCTGCGCGCTATGCGAGGTAACAACTGAGACTAGGAGTCAGTGCGGATGGGGAAATATGTGAGTCGAGCTTTAGGTTGAAGTACACTGACTACAACAGTAGCTTACACAAGACTTGAATCTTCCCTTTTCCACACGACCACACATATCAGAGGAAACTCACATTGAGACACACCCAATACGGTGCGACAGGTAATAAAGCAACTGCTGATTGAAAAAAGCAAGGGGGCGGGGGCAGCAGTTAGGTGTGTGACTCGAGCTACATGTGTCCGGCCAGCTGTGCGACCAACACATTCTTGGTGCGCGATGAGGACTCAACATTTGTCGGGGGTTTTAGCGCGTGGGACTCCTGGCGATATTTAGTTTTACTATCGTGCAACTCTTTCAGGGGTCGAGGAAGCAACCCAACTTGCAAGCCAGCAGTCGAGCTTCCGCTGCACCCATCTCGTGGGCGTGGAATCAACCGTGCTGCTGTGATCGTGTTGCTTCCGGACAGCAGGCTCATCCTGTGTGCAACGACAGAAACAAACGCGCGCCGTGCCTTGTCCGAAAACACCCACACACGCCTTGTAGCTTTTGATCTGGGGACGAATCCGCCAGCAGCTTGCCCGCTGAAATGAAACGCAAAGAGGGCATATTTTGGATTCAACCTCTGGCGCGTCGGGCTGTCCAAGATCTATCCACTACCTACAGGCCACGTGATAGACCGAGCACGAGCACGACCACGTGGTAGATATCCTCCTCAGGACCGAAAACTCTCCGCCTGGCAGAGGAGGCTACGTGCGTGTACCCGACCTGCAGAGCGGCCCCCAAGCCGAGCGCTACCCTCACGGCACGAAAAGAAAGAAAGAAACGTAAGGTGGAAAACGGCCAACAGGCTCGACACACACAAAATTCAACCTAAATAAAACCCAGCCCCAACCAACCTCCTTGTGTTTCCGCTCACCCCGTTCTCCATGACGAAAGCTCTGCGACCCCTTCCCGTAAAGACTGCTCTCCTTGCAAACTTAACAGCTCGCGTCTACCTCCTTCTGCGGTCCTGTCTTTGTTGCCCTCGATTTGGGTGGTGGATGTCTTGGCGCGAAACAAAACAGATGTGTGGGCACGGGCGGGAAAACCACACGGCGCGAGTGGGAAAAGGGGACCCCCCTAGGGGTATGAAAACACATTTTTTCAAGAAGTAGGGGGGGGGGGAGGGGGGGTACTGGTGTCTTTGGTGGTGTGGTGGTTGGGCGCAGCTGGTGATGCCTCGCGCTCTCTCACAGCCCCTTCCCTAGGTGTCGGAGTACCGAAGCCCACCCCTTTTCTCATCATGTCGAAGCGTGGTAAGTGCTGTCGAGGCTTGCGGTTACGCGTTTGTCTGCCGTTGCTGTGTTTTGGTTGTGCCTTTGGGTGCCGTTCGGAGGGAAAACACACGGAAGAGCAAAGTTGGGTGGTGTGCGGCGGATAAGGCCTTGCCGGGCTTCGACCACACGCGAGAGTGCTCCGCGCAAGGACAGTAGGAGGTAGACCTGTACTTCTTGCGAAGCTGTTGCCAAAGTTATTGCGTTAGACTGTTGCTGGTATCGATTTCAACCGGCATCCGCAATCCATACCATCTCTATCTCGTCTTCCTCACCCTAACGCTGCTGTGGGTCTCGGATGTTGTCCACGGGTCACAGACAGCGAGTGCCTACAGTAGTTGCCCACCACACCTGCACTGTTGTTGCAGTCCTTTCAGCTCTGAGTTGAAAAATGTAGAGGTAACTCCAGCCGTAGCACGTTGGCTACTCTTGGTTTATCTATCATTCACGTGGCTCGGCGACGAATGCTCTCGATGTGAAGCACCAGCCCTCCCTCCCACACACTACCATGGTTATTATTATGTACTTAACCAGACAAGGCTACCACACACGAAACGCGTATTGTAGCTTCGGCATCAAGACAAGATTGGAGGATGAGCGAAGGAAGGCAGTACCATCGAGTTTCATGTGACATTAGCACAAGGCACATGTTATGAACCAGCTGTTCTGCAAACCTCGTTTGAGCGTTCCGTATCCAGTCTTTTTTATGTTTGGGCTCCAACCAGACCCTTCTTCGTTTCTACAGTACTTTAGTTCACATGCTACAAAGTATACTAGAGACGGGGAGTCTCCATGAGTATTCCAAGGGGTTGTACTGCTGTTTGCCGATTGCCGATTGCCGATTGTGCTTGCAGTTCAGTACTCAGCCGGTTGGATATGGCCTATTGGTACAGGGTGCTCCGGTATTGTGAACTTTGAACCCCAGAGCAGCAAGATCCCAGCAACAAAGTAGAAGTGTCGAGAACGGAAAACGCCCATCTCCTTTACTTTGACTGTATAGACCAGCAGTGTATTTAGTACACTATCATCGAGTCGAACCCACGCTGAAGACGGTCGCCTCTGGCCAAGCTTCCAATCCCCTCCTCTTTCAGCGCTTCCGCTGTGTGCTCGTCCAGCACACCAGACTCTTTCAGGATAGATCTTCTTGCCCCCCCCTCCCCGCTCTCTCTGTTGGCCTTCCCCACACAACGCGTCCAAGAGTTCGTTTTTTTGCGTGTTGAATCCTCTCCCCTCTCGTCCTATTTCTTGTCACGTGACAGGGCGCGCCGGTGCCCAGGGCAACAAGTACCGCATGACCCTCGGTCTGCCCGTGGCCGCGGTCATGAACTGCTGCGACAACAGCGGGGCCAAGAACCTGTACATCATCTCGGTGTGCGGCATCAAGGGTCGCCTGAACCGCCTGCCCTCCGCCGGTAGGTGTAAGGGCCGCGTCGGTAGATACCACAGACTCCGCGTGCAGCTGAATACGAGTAAGCCGTCAAGGATCAAAATAAGCATACCCCGAGCAGCAAGTAGTCTATACCAATTCGCGACATTTCGAGATGAAATAGTGAACTCCAGACTTGAGCCTTGGGGCGTTTTTTTTTGGATGACACGCGTAAGCTTGAAGGATAGAACCTCCACCACAAGCGTTTGGTGAAACTGGCCCCAAGGGGTAGGGATCGTTTTCGTCCCATGCTTTTTTGGTAAATGCGTGCACCGGTTATACACGGTAAACGAATGCACGACACACTAGGCTCGGCTGACAATAAAGGTTGTTTCTTGGGATACTCTCCAAGCTTCCACGTGTTTGGCGTGTCTAGTTTTTTGTTTGCAAGCATCGACCTACGCCACATCTCGGTTCACCGTACGAGGGCGTCAGTCTTGCCCACTGTATCGCTGTTGCACCGCTCACTGCTGTTGACGTTGGCGGCGGGCGAACCCGCCCACGCAGACACACGCAGGCGTCGGAAGGGTCTTACTCATGTTGCCCTCTTTTTGCCCGGTTTGTTTGACTGTTGACACTGCTGGATGACGCCTGCAGGTGTCGGTGACATGGTGATGGCCACTGTCCGCAAGGGAAAGCCGGAGCTCAGGAAGAAGGGTGAGACAAAGACAGATTTAGGCGAAGGTCGCACCCTCAAACCAAGTGGTATACAGCAGCGCCTGTGTGCATTGATGGTCTCGCCAGCTTCGCTATGACGATACAAGCGTGCCACTGTACACCCCCAACCAGGACCACGAACTATGTGTGGATCAAGCTTGAGCCCTCTTTCGTGCGGAGAACTTCACCTTCTTTTTTGCCTCGAACAACGAGTGTTTTGAGTAGGAAATACCTGCAACAGACGGTAAAAGTCGTAAGCTACACCTTTCCAGGTTTGGTCTCTCGCTTGCGCCCAAACCGTGCGATCAAGTCTGTTCGGATGTGTTCTTCCCTGAGATAGCCTCACGTCAATGCGCCTTTCTGAGTGTTTCCGTGGGTGTGCAACGCATTTGTTGTTTTGCGTGCGTCTCCGTTGCCTCCCCTTTCGCCGATAGGCACGGTTGAATGGTAGAAAACAGAAGCACCCCTGCTGCTCCTTGCTCTAACGGGACGATGATGTCGTTTGAGTGCCCCCTATTCCCGTCACCCCCCCGTCCCCCCTACAGTGATGCCCGCCGTTGTGGTGAGGCAGCGCAAGGCCTGGAGGCGGAAGGACGGTGTGTTCATCTACTTCGAGGACAACGGCGGCGTGATTGTCAACAACAAGGGCGAGATGAAGGGTGAGCTTGGCGTCTTTTTCGTCAGACGGCACAGAGCCGTTTCGCTTCGAGAACAGCCTAGACCTGTCCGTTGTGCTTAGACACGATTTGGAGGTCGTCAGCCCGTTAGAGCGATAGAAGAGCAGCAGCAGCAGGAGCAGCCAGCAATAGCAGCAGCTGTGCTTGGGTTGTTTGGACTCGTTGCGCTTCGTTGCTTCGCCGCTGTTTTCGGGTGGGCGAGTGGGATGAAGGCGGACTGGCTCTTTGCCTAAGCTGATCGTGCTCATGCTGTCGAGGAAGCGCGCTGGGTTCTGTTTTTCCCCGGCTGGGGTAGACCCTAGTCTTGGATGTACAAGCCCGTGTTCTTGAAAGGCGTGTGCCTTTCCTGATTTTTGCCTCCTTTTGGCCGCTGGTATCGCACTGGGGACAGGGTCTGCGTGCCTTGCTAGAACCTCAAGAGCTCTCTCCAAGCCCCTCCTCAGTATGAGCGGCATGAACAAGACAAGCTCCGCCCTGAAAACATGGACCAAACGCCCTTTGTTTTTGGTGAAAGGGGTTTGGGTTTTACATGCTCTGCCCCACATCCCTTACTCTTACGCTTGCCGCTCGGTTTACCGTTACCCCTCTCGTTTTTTGTGCAGGTTCCGCGATCAACGGCCCCGTTGCTAAGGAGTGCGCCGACCTGTGGCCCCGTATCGCCAGCAACGCTGGGTCCATCGTCTAAGAGCATAAATGACGCTCGCAAGAACGCCCACATGTGTCGTCGACAAAATGACACCGGCGCGACACACCTCGATGAAACTGTTTTTACTCCGCTCGCCTGTCTACTGGGTTGAAGTGCAGACATTGTCCGCGGCTTTGTGTGGAGAGCGTGTTGAGTTCCGTTGAGAAGCGCAGATGAGAGAGGGCGAGAAAAGGGGGGGGAGCTGCAATTCTGAATTTCACAAGGGTTCAGACAACATTGTATTTGGTGTCTCCGGTACACATGCTGTGCCTATGCATGATAGCGTGACGTGCTCGCAATAAAGCGACAGCTTTGCTGTATGGGTCGTGAGGGGCATAAAGCCGCCCAAGCGACGTGTGTTCGCACGCACTTTTTTCTGCCCTCGTTACGTGGAACAGCTACTATCAGGCTACGCGCAAGCGTTGTGGCGCTACGCCTCATATTCAGGTGCGTTGCGTGGTGCACACGGCACAAGCTGCGTCTTGTCACGAGCCTGACACTGCCATTGCGCCACACGTACGCCACACGTAAATATCACAATTCGCGAACCTCTGTTTGAGAAAGGGCCGTGCGCGACAAGAGATAGCAAGCCGCGATTCACAGCACCGCTTTCCAGACACATGCCACCCCCCCGTGAGAGTACGGCGCAACGGCAAACATTTTTCTGCGGATGTCAGCGACGCACATTCCGCGATGCCCGTTTCCACAATATCACCAAACTACAAACGCATGTGGTTGCCCGAACTGCTGATTCGTCTCCGCCAGATTTGTTTGTCTGATGAGATGGGTGCGGGTAGATGCCTCCACACTCAACCTAGCAAAGAGCGAAGGTAGACTTCCCTCTGGTACTTGCGCCTTACTTGTGCCTGGTTGAAGGTGGACATGGATTCGATTACTCAACACGCGAACGCCTTCTCATCCGGTGGGCGTGGGTCTTTCCTCCAAGAAAATGTTGCAGCAGGAAAAAACATGATTTGAAGCGAGAAGATTGGATAGAAGGTAGCACCGCTGCCCCTGCCTCTTCACCCCCGGTACCAGAATTCAAGCTTCCCCTGATAAAGGCGCACTCGTCCGAACACCCGAGGCCGCGACCATCAAGTCCGTGTCTACGACGACCCCTTGATCCGACGCCCGGACCAAACTTCTATGCGCCCCGGGGGGTGCAGCCGGAGACGACGCCGATACCCCCCCCTGTCCTCGCCCCCCACCGCCCCCGGCACCACCCAGCAGATTGCCCGAATAGGACAGCCTCCCGACCCCACCGCCGCCTCCGCCGTGACTCTCTCCCGCTCCTCCTCCTCCTCCAGCTTGCTGGTCGTCCATCCACCCATCGGAAGCGGACACTGGCCGACTACCTCCCTCGTTCGGGTAGGGAGCCGTACCCCCTCGTCCACTTCCACTTCCGCCCCAAACGGGCGCGAGTAGAGAGGACGGCTGCATCGTGCCGTTGCTCCTGACGCCAAGTCGGGGGTTCCCACCTGGCAAATAATTTGGAGTTCGAAAAGAGAGAATGGGTGAGATTTTTAAGATAGGCTGCCAGTACTTGAGTCAAAATTGCCGTGAATTGTTACTGCAAGTTGTTTGCAGTACAGCTGAAGTCTTCCGTTCTGTGTTCTTTTAATGGCGATGACCGGCACTACTGTATGTACGCATCGCAGTTTACATCAGAATATATACGTCGCGTCAGCACCACCGTCACAGAATACCTCGAAAAGCACGACCTCCTTACCACCTTTGCCAACGTGCTACCGCCTACACACCGCGATATACCTGCCGATCCTGGTGTAGCTCTACCGCGCGCTGCCGCTTCAACTGCGCGGAGATGCTCTCGAAGGCCATGTATCTCGACGCGCTGGAGCTGCAACTCTCGCTCTTTGTCGTCGAGCGCCCGCTCGAGCCGGAGGGTGCCGCCGGTAAGAGCGGCCTGCGTTCGGTGGTGTATGTGAGCGAGTCAGCTACCGTGGTACATACGTAGTGATTGCCATCACACTGATGAAGCTATGGATTATGGCACTCACTCGTCGGATTGGAGAATCCACACATGCACGGGGGTGGGTTGGTGGCGGGCAGGGGGTACTTGGGTGGTGCCTGCCTTTGTGGCTACAGATCAGGAGCTGGAGTGTCGAACTATGTTTGGGGCATTCGTCTTGTCGTTGCTTTTCCGCCTCGCCCACCTCTTTGGAAGCGTAGGAGCAATACGCTCTCTATGCCGTCTGCGGGAAGCTGCGCGGTCGCGCGCTCACCAGCATGCATTGCCTCAGTCTTTCAGACCGTAGAATGTTCGCCTTTTCTAAACGCCGGGGCGGAGAACCTCCGGTTGTTGCCAATGAGGCTGAAGATGAGGTGGCTTCTACAATATTCGGGGATCTGCTGGATAGATCTACGTGGTTTGATTCGTCGGGCCACCCACTCGCACACCTGTGCATGAAGCTCGCGCGTGCCCCCTTTCACGATCCGCGACGCCGGCGTTACCGGAGACAGCGCCAGATGACCCCGACCTAGACCGCCACCGCCTCCGGCGTTCCCCCTGTGACCCCCGCGACCGCCTACGACACCGCCGCTGTCATAGCCGACCCTACCGAGAGCCTGATGCCGCCCTTGGTGCGGCAACGGTTGCCGCTGCAGTGGCGACTGCTGGTGCTGGGAGTTCTGCAGGAGGATATCGAGGGACGACGACGACGCGGAGGAAAACGACAACGACGGTTGCTGCTGCTGCTGTTGTTGCTGCTGTTCCGACGCGGTCGCCGTTCCCGCCACCTGGTATTGGTGGCTTTTGCTGCCGTTGTTAACGGTTCTCCCGCCTCCATGCCGATTGCTAGCGGCCGTGCTGCGAGGCCCTGACTTTGGAAACCCTCCCGCAGCTCCTCGACCTCCGGCGACGCCTTTCGGCCGCACCCCCGGTGTCCCTTCGGCAGCCCCTCCCGCCGACGAGGATGCCGCCGTAGACGCTGCTGCTGGGCTCGCGGGGTCCCACGGCGGGGGTGCGGAGAAAAAGCTCGTCTCCGTCTTGGGCTATTCGTTCAAGCACCGCGGTAATTACGAAAGGGGAGAGCATAGCAGCAGGTGAGCGTTTGTCGGCGCGTGTGCGTCTGTGTACACTTCGCACAACGACTTGATGTCCCGCGCAGATCGCATTATTACCTTCAGCACGCAGTGTATGGTCTGTCTTACGGTTAATTCGAGGAGTAAAGAGATCATTTGCCGGAACAAAGGCTGGCCTAAGTGCTCGCCAGTGAAGCAGTCAACAAGCAAGGCGCAGAGGTCATGCGGTGAGCGGGAGTCGGGGGAGGCGAAGAACTCACCGCTTGCATCACCGTGACAGACGTCGATTCGCCCATCGACCGGGACTGCTGCGAGGCGCCCTCATCCGATGTAGAAGAGCCAGTCCGTCTCCTCCCGTCGCCACCGCCGCCATTTCCGCCACCTTCCTGAGCCACTCTTCCATTTGGTGCGATACCAACTCCGCCCGAGCCGTGCGCGGGAGCGTTGCCGGGGCGCGCGTTCGGTTTCTGGAGCTGCGCCTGGTTCGGCCTCGCCGCCATCTCCTTGGCCTCCAGGCGGAGGATCTCGTTCTGTCGCTTGAGGTTGTTGTTCTCCTTGCGGAGGGAGTTGCACTCGGAGATGAGAGCGCTGTTCTCGGTGAGCTTGACGCGCTGTTTCGTCGGACGGGTGGGACCCGTTCATGTTGTTTTTTTGCCGTGTGTGAGGAAGTCGTTGTGCCGGAATACACCGTCACAATGGCACGCGAGCAGAGAGGCGGGGAGTCAGGAAAAGAGCCGCATGGCCGTTGCAGGCAGGCGTGATTGGTCGGGTGATGCCGAAACCGAGAGAAGGCGCTACGATCATCGGCCGGGGCATTGACCGACAACCCGCTGAGGTCTAGTGACGAATCTCACCACCGTTTCAAACGAGCACAGAAAACACCACCAAGCGCTATTACCGCAGAAGACTTGACTGCTTGAGCTCATGCAGAGGACGGCTTGTCGAAGGATAATTGTTCTTACCTGCTGCTTGACAGCTGCGAGTTTTGCGTCAGACAGCTTGGCTACCAGCTCATTTTGCTTCTTCTCCATAAACTCCCTCTGCCTGTGTGCCTGCGCAGGGATAGACCACAACCGACCATCGTTGATCGAGAATCCACCATACATGACGCGCTCAAGAGGTGCCACATTTGGCGACCATGCACCGTTGTGGACGGGAATGATCCCTTTTTCCCCGTCCCCTACTTGAAGAGTCCCCCCCCCCCGTCCCCCGGGGTTGGGTTTTCGTCGCTTGGCAACCACGTTGTAAAACAAGCCAATTCACTTCGTGAACTCGGCAACCAGGTTACCTTTTGTTTTTTTACCTCTGTTTTTTTTTTTTTGCGGTAACGATAATCGTGGTCGAGTAAATCATGTTGTGCGGGGTCGAGAACCCTCACTCCGCGCAAGGGGGATGATCGCACCACGTTGTTTTAAAATGGTCAAGCATCCTCGAGGCAGTTACACAGTGCTTACAACTGCTGTCTCTGGACGTGAAAGCGCCAGAAAATAAATTAAGTCATACGCAGCTGTCATCCGTACGCAAGGAAGTAAGCACAAGGTGCCGAACACCCTTAGCAGGATGCAGCGCACCCTCCATGCGACTCGCCGAATACCTCACGGCGCTCGCGCTTGGTGATGTGAGAGCCTGGTCTGGTGAGAACCCGGCGTGCTCCGTCCCGGCTTTGTAGGGATGCGAGGTCAATGGTCTAACGACTACGGCAAGCACGACTATGAGTACACCCCCCCCTCCTACTTGAAGAGCCTGGTCCGGTGAGAACCCGGCGTGCTCCGTCCCGGCTTTGTAGGGATGCGAGGTCAATGGTCTAACGATTACGGCATGCACGACTGTGCGTACCCTCCCCCCCCCCCCCCCTACTTGAGATACGTGATCTGATCGTTCACAACATGACGGGATCATCAGCCAGCCGGATAGGCTTGGCAGACTACCGTGGAACCGACAATTCTCCCGGCGGTGTCGACTAACGAGAACAAGCCGCTCCTTCTCTTCACGTGGTTGACACACGAACAAACACGGGCGGGCTGCGATGCTAACGAAAACAGCCGGTCTCACGCTGTCTGCCTTTTTGGAGCCTCAAGAGCATTGTGAAACACGATACGATTCTAGTAGATTCAAGCGAGCTCCCCCAGAGCCGTCGTCCTGGTAAGCACTCCTATCATGTTTGCGCGTGCTTGACTTCTTGCTTGGCAAGCTAACGAATACCTAGCACAATGATTTCCAATAAGGCACTGGGGAAAACCTGTTGGAAGTACCAACTTGGTAGCAGTGTTCTATGACCGACAGGAGACCCGAATATTGTGATCATCGACTCTCAGGTCAACGCTGCTTATAGTATCCAGCCGTAATAACCTGAAGGGTGTTCACAGTACATACCTCGAGAGTCTGGGCCATGAGATCTGCCGCGTCATCCCCCCCCCCGCGCCCCCTTCGGCCGCCGCCGCCGGCCCCTCCACCCCTCCGAAACTCGGTGCTGTCGCAGGACCCGTCCGAATCCCCATCGGTGTCCGTTCCTCCTCCCTGGATTGGAAGACAACGTGCATCTAGTGAAGCCATGAAACAATCCTCCTCTATCTAGACTGTGGGTGTAACGCAGAGGAGGCGTGGGTTCTTGCAGAAAACGTTTTTGTCGGCAAAGCATGGAACGAATTTCGTTCTCTCGGGTTTCTACCTCTCGACAAACTCGTGGAGTGGGGAACAAGACCCACGGAGGGGAGAAGCTTCAATCTCCTTGTCGGCGGCCGCCCGAAACGACCCAACGCCGGATCCGACCTGATCTGATTGATCTGTACACGTGAAACCAGCCGCATTCGTTCCAGTGTTTTCTTTTGTATTTGTTTCGGGGGTGACAATGTTTTCGGCCTTCAACGTATTACTTTAGCCAAGCAACTTTGCCTCAAGATCTCACAGCGAGTAAGACTACCCATTTTACGGCCTCCGAATGCTTACGGCCAACAATTGGGTGTTCCGCGTTGCTCTCGAGACCGGAAACTCTCATTTCCCGGCACCATGCCGGGAGTGTCGCGCTCTTGCCGGCCCATGCCATCCATCGTCACGGGACGCTCGGGAAGAATCGGCTCATGCCTAGACGTGTTTATTCGCAACACACGTACAACACACCTTCCTGTCGTCGTCTACCCCTCCTGCCAGCGACGAGCTCGCCTCCTCTCCGGCGCCGCCCCCACCTCCGCCTTTGCCCCCACCCCCTCCTTTGTCTTTGGTCTCTCCCCCACCCTTGCCTCCCCCCCTCCCCTCCCGGGAGTCAACCCTCCCCCCAACTG